AAACGATTATATTTCGTTTAGTTTGACTTCCCATATCGTGGAAATATCTAATCCAGCGAAAACGCGAGAATTTCGAAAAAAAGCTCTTTCTCTCAAATCGGTTGAAAGAACTCTTTCCTCATTTTTAAACTTTGAAACCTTTTTTACTAAATTTTTTTGTGATACATTATTCAATATACTTTCGAATACGTTATTTGTTTTAATCAAAAATGCTTTTGAACTAAAGAGAAAAATGGATTTCTTGGAAAAAAACTGTGGAGGGGGAGACGAAAGTTATTATTGCGCAAATACTGTTGACGTAATACGCATGTAAAGATATCTGTGGTAACCCGTTATACTGGAAAGACAATTCTTAGCATTCGTTTTCCAATGATTTTTACCACCATGGAATATTCCTGTTGTTCTAAAAGAGATAAAAAAGTCCTCGAGAAAGATAGCTAATACGTTTGATCTAGTAATAAAAAAGTGAAAAAAATCGTTAACTCTGACGTTTCAGCCTCACATCCGCTTGAATATCCACTGCAGAATGTAGAGTAGGATAGAAATGTTAAAGAGATTAATGAACTATAATATATTAATCACAGATTATTACTATTGCTAGAACACACGCTGTTTTGCGTTTCTTTCTTTTTACAATATTTTCGACTAACACTCAATAAGTACAGTGCCTTCATGTAGCACTGAGAAAAATTCTCTCTTCATTTCTCTTCTTTTATCGTACCAATTTGTTTTCAGACTAATGTTTGCCTAGTATTTTATCATGATTATAAGCAGTTCGAACAAAAAGTTTTGTTGAAATATATGGCTCATATGTTGAAGTATAGTTTTCTATACTTAAAAAAATTGACTGTCCTATTTTATTTCCACAGTCCAGCTCAATCGTTTACATAATGTACATATGAAAGTTGATTCATCTGCACTTTGTATTAACCGTCGTTCCATAATAACACCCTCTTCCTTTTTTTGCAATCAGCATAATTTGATTGTACGCCATATGCGCGATTTTACAGTTCAATTCCAAATTCAATTTTATCCTTAATTTCGTTTCTAAACAGAACGGTAGCCCTTTGATTGTTACCAAGTCTTCATGTAAACACTGCAAGACATCTATTGTGACATGCCGTTTCAGTGTCTGAAAGTATTCACTAATTCGCTTATATGAACCTTATTTTCTGTTCAGCATAGAAATACATATACTCATTCCTCTTATTACGTTATGCGGCTGAGGATAGGCATACATCAAGCTTTTCTACCCTATGCTAAAGATTTAGGCCTCAGATATGGAAAACTATCAAACACCACCAAGCTTTTATGATAGACTAATGTTGGATTTTGTCCGAGCTATTAAAAATCCTCAAAGCTTGGTCAGGCTTGGCTGATAGGCAGTTTTTCCAGCTCTTTCACCAAGCCTGATCAAATTTTGAGGATTTTCAATAGATAGGACAAAATTCAACATTAATTCCAGATAGAGTAGAGAAAATTGGTTATGTCTATCATAAAAGCTTGCTGGTGTTTGATGGTTTTTCATATCCGAGGCCTAAATCTTTTATCATTGGTGCATGGCTAGCTGAGGATGACTCTAATCTGAGTTGAAAGTTCCTACCTTATTGAATAAAATAATGAATTTGCTCGAGTTCTTCGTACAAACGCTATTCAATCATCAATGTTTCCTCAACAAGCGATGTTAATATTGCTTTTATTCTAACGTACCCAAATCCTTATCTTTTTTCGGCCCAACTTCATAATTGAGTAAACAACGTTGTCGTTTCTGATGGTAAAAACCGACATTGACTGAAAAGCCGAACGCTGTTGGCTGTGATGATAATAAGTGATCTAATTCATCTACTGTAGAAATAGATAATAACACACGATTCATTATCTGACGGGGTAATTTTGAACGAGTTAAATAATTTGGATATAAACCATTCAAGGTGAATACTAAACCATGTACATTTGCACTAAAGGCATTACCTATGCGAAACAAATAAAATATAACTTGAGAAATCGACAAGTCAACATTTTAGTTCTAGATAAATGATCAGTTCTTCTAATGGCATCACTTTGCTCTTATTTTATTGCTGTAATAATTAACTACAAGATCTCCTTTTTCTCTCGTTATTAGCCAACATCATGATAAAGAAGAAGCAAAACATTGTTTTCATGCTTTTTTTGGTACTTGTAAAGAATCAACAACGCGAAAACACTCTTCATTGCTGTAAGAAGTCAAGCAAATAAGTTGCTATTGAAAACACGTTATAGTTTAAAATAAAAATGTTTAGCTAGTGTATGTCAGATCCTCATCTCGCCAATGGCAAGGATCATCAAAGAAAGAATATGAACTTTGAATGTATTTTTAAAATCTTTATCCATGTCAATCAATAGCAGTTTTAGAACGTACATTAGAATAGACATGCAATCCTTCTCTTCTTACCTGGTATAGTTCCAGCGTAACAGTAACTGATAAATTTTTCCTTTGGACATGTAAAATTCTGATCTGCATAAGTTTGTTCATTAATAGTAGCCACAATTAGATAAGCGACGTTGAACAATGAACTAGAAGCATCTTCATTATGCAATATAGAATATTCATTATCTCGATTTAATAATACTGTACTACAACCAATTGAACCATTTTCTTTTTCTTTCGATCGTCTCAAACCCATTTTTGTTTCATTTTGGAAATTTAAACATAATATTTGATCAAGAGATAGTTGAGATCCATCAGATGTGCCTTTCATTTCATCGTAATACCACGGATAGACACTTCGAATAGCTGCGACATATTCAGCATACAACTGTTGACAAAAGTCCGTTTTCACAAATTCAAATAAAGTTTGGAGTGTCAAATCTAATTTGATACGTAAATGGATACGTTCACGAAATGTTTCACCTATTTTATATCCAATCTCATAATGACTACCATCGACTACTAACAACGGAATCGTATCACTGTCGGCTAACATTTTTAAATCTATAACGAAACATTTAGTTAATGAAACGATTCTTTTTTAAGCAACTAATTTACAGAGTTGATCCGACTATGGTAGAGGATTCTCCATAACTGAATACTTTTCGTTTTTTCTCAGCGAAACATAAATATAATATAAACCCACGTATTGTAAATACTTCCTGCGTCCTACAAAACTGATTTATCATATATTCTGTGATATTCCAGGCAGAAACGTTAGAAAATGAGGAGTTTTAAAAAATTTAAGAAATCCTCAAAATGGTGCGACTTTATATACGAAAAGCACGTTGAAGCTGCCGGTGAGATCCACCAGTCTTGAAAATGTTTAACCACTGAGTTATGGGTGTTTTTAAATTTTTAATCTAGATTTTGAGAATTCTATTAAATTGCATCTTAGATTAGTCGAAAATAACTAGACAACTCTTGCTCACGATCTAAAATGATTACTTTCCGTTGTTAGGTTGTTGGTATGCACGTGTAAAAAATGTGTACGTCCAAGCTTTATCACTTTTTTCTAAGAAAACGTGGAACAAGATGCTTGTCTGTACAGGCAAGGTACAGGACTCTTGTCTGTGGGAGCTCAAATATTCTAAGTAGGGATGCACCGAATCCTGTGACTATGTCTCAAAATGAAGAAAAAGAGTAGTTTTCACCAAATTCTACCAAATCCAGCGGCTTATTTTTAAATTTGATAAAATTCAACACTAGTTTCGGATAGAACAGATAAAACTGGTTATGTCTGACACAAAAGTTTGTTAAAGTGTAGGGTTTTAAATATCAAAAATATGTAACCTTTGAGACATAGTCGCAGGATTTGGTGCATCCCTAATTCTAAGACTTTTCGTTTATAGCTGGTCTGCAGTCAAAATACGGAATATGTCATCCATTTTCATTAAAATCAAATTAATTAAATTCCATTAGTATGCAACTTCCTTTCCAAGCGATAAGGTTAGATATATCGTCTGTGTAGGTGACAAAGACAACTTCCACTGAATGACATGACCAGGTGTAGCATATTGAACGGTGCTCAGAGATTTTTCGTATGGTCCCCCTACTTCTTAATATGTTTCAATATATCTTGGTTGACGGATACATTACGGCGTGATAGTGGATGGTCATGCCATTTCATCGTCTAACGTCATCTGATTACAGACGCTTCGTCGTTGTGAAACTCATAATCATCATTAGCTCTCATTTTACTTGTTCTCATGATTCACCAATCAGTGTCATCAAGAAGAAGTACTCGTGCGACGTAGAGGTAGTACTCAGAGTTACCGTATCGAATATGTCATTTTACTTGTGGAGTCTATCAGAATAATTAATTCAGAAATCTACAGATGGATTTTATAGGATGACTTCACATGATCATCAACATGGCCTTTCGACTTTGTGGTTTCATTGTCTTCAACGTGTGGTCAGCATCAACTTGATATTTTTGATTGATTTTGGTTGAAAACGGTCGCAAATAAAACGTTATCGTGCTTAAACTATAAATTTACATTAAAAAATCTGTATCGCAGTCATAATGTGAAAAATGTGTCGGCAACCCATCCCTTTGTCACAGACTAATATGTTGCGACACACGCGACACATTATTTTTTAGATTATGGAAATTGTTAGGTTGTATTGCTCTATAAAACAGCACACGAAAAGGAAGACATTTAGTGATTTCGTACACATTCTAGATAATTCTGAACATTAAGACAGACAGTAAATAAGCTTCCTCATTTTTGTCTCGTAAAAAATATAGGGTAACTACAAGAGAAAAGAATGATAGTAACAGAGCTGGTCCGAGCGGGTAACTCCCTACTCTCTTTCCAATAATTGAAAATAATTTTTTTTCACCCGCCAAATGAAAAAAAAATGTTGCAAAAATAGCGCGCGCAGCGAAAAATTTTCAGTCGACATCACTCCCAAAATTTTTTTGTGGAAAAGAAAAAATCATTAAAAAAATGTTGACTTTCTCCCCAATCCTGAGTGTCTCGGGTCAGCTCTGGATAATAAAGGCAAATCAACTTATACCTGAAATACATAACGATTTTTGTTTTATATAACTTTTTAAATTCCTGCTGCTACTGCTGTGTGTATTAGACACTACTCAACGATGATCTTAGAAGCAAAAACATATCTTCATGCAGGACTGAGTATGAATTAAACCAAAATTTGAAATACGAAAATACGGATATATTTGTTTTTATTCTATAGGTTTAAGTTTAAGGATAAAACTGTGAATATTTTGAACGAATCAAATTCGTACAATCATGAAATATACCGTCTTGACCATACTCTTGTTTTCGCATCTGCACTTCTGTTAGCATTAATAGCACAAGTCAATAAATTATCTGCTATTTATATTGTTAACATCACTACTGTAAGTTTAACAGTAAATTTAGCTGCAATTGAAGTTTTTACTTGGTGATATTCACTGAAGAACAAAAATTAATATAACATCAGGTATTAGGAAGTTTCAAGCTTTTACCCGCTTTTTATCCTGATCCGTCCACCTGGGGTCCATGCGGATCCCAGACGAAAACGAGTGCTTTGAAGATATGTCTTACTACTCTGCCAGATAACTAATGAGTGGAAGCAATCAGTTCATATTGATAGTACACCCTATTGTCATTCAGTGGATAATAAATTGAAGGGGTAAGATCTAACCGTTGTGTTCAGGCAGCATTCAAATGAAACCGGTAAAATTTGGGCATATTATAGGCGGTTGGATCAGGGTTAAGGGAATATTTGACTAGAACAAGAGGAGTTCAGCCCTCCTTTAACTCTTGCATATATTTCAAGGCACAAGAGGGCGGTACTGATACATACTGTTATATGTTATAAACTATTTTTTTTTAAAACCATTTACTGAACATATTAGTATAGTGGTAAAACGTAATCATATATACTTTGGATGAATTTTGTATTTCCGGAATGAATACTTTCTAGAACAACTGAAGAGCAAAGGGGGAGAACGAAAGGGAAAGAGCGATTTCTGACGGATTTATCCCTAGAACAGTGATCAAACTCTCGGAAGATCTCTATTTTCGTTCGATCTTATTCCCGTTTGATTCTCTAGTCTCAAAGGCTATTTTAGTATCATTATATGAATTGAGTGAATATACTCAATGAAATGAATAAAGTACAGTTTGTTTGGAATCAAAATTCGTTCAAATTTTTAGTTTTATAATAAATAATCCATATACATACCATCATATCGATTTTTTCTTTTTTCCGTTCTTTTTCCTCAAAAATATGCAACATTCGCTTCACACTCACTCTCATATACAGTGCAGTTGCTGTTTTTAGTATATTCAACAAGATATAAAAATGCACAACATGTAAGTGAAACAGATTATAGATGTGAAACACCCGTTTGAAGAGACCCTTAAGCAAGATCGAAACGCGTCACGGTAGCTTAAACCATCTACTGCTGCAAAATACTCGTTTCACTACCATCTCCTTGTTTCACCTTACCATTGTTTTTCAAAATGTTTCAAAATTCAAAATTATTTTCTAAGAGAGAGAGAGAGAGAGAAACAATAAAGTACAGTGTATCGGTTAACGTGTTGAACAAAAAACTAATTGCTTGGGATTTATTTTCTTTCTAGCGATATTTTAGTTTTTAAACCTTTTTCAAGAATTACTTGTTTATATAAGTTCCATGTATAATTTTATTCAACTAAAAAAGACAAACTAAACAAAATTCTTTTTAATCCTATTTTTACACAAAAAGTGAACTAAGATTGAATTTTTCGGTAAAAAACGCCTTTTGACATGAAAAAAACGACAACAAGACAACAAACTGTGTTGAAAGTAACAAATATACAAAAGAACAAAAAAGAACTAAATATTAAAAAGTGGCAAAAAGTTTTAAAATGATTACAAAAGAGAATCGTTCAAACGGATGATTGAATTGAAGATTGAATGAAGATATAAAACTGATACATAAATCAACATATCTGAACAAAATGAAATAGAAAAAGAATAAAAAGTGCAGCTTCTTATTTTTTTGTCGCAATGACTGAGTAGGCAAAATGAAAGAAAAGGCCGTAATTTTTTGCGCAAAAAAAGATAAACAACGTGATTATAAATACATAAACGATAACAAAAAATGGTTAGAGAAACCGTTTGCGATACTCTGGAAAAAAAACAGGTACGAACTCAAACGAGGTTTCGTGCAAGCTACGAAACTTAAAAAGGGTTTCAAGAATTGAAACCATTTCGAAACTTTTTTAAAGGTTTCGTAGGAAATCTATGAAACCTTAAAAAGTTTCCTAGATCCTTAATAAATCTTTTTTAAGGGTTTCGTACATTCCTACGAAACCTAAAAAGGGTTTCGAAATGGTTTCAATTCTCGAAACCTTTATTTTTCAGAGTACCAATATGTTGAAAAAGACAACTTTGATGTTCGGTATAATTTACTTGATACTGATTATGTTAAAATATCTACTTGAGTCTAAATTTTATTTTCTGTTAATAATGCATCCACTTGCTCCCAGTCATCTAATTCTTCCTCCCCCTCCTGTTCTTCTTGCTCATCTTGTTGAGATGTTGGCTGTCGTTTTTTGTTCTCTTCTTGACCATTGTCTTCTTTTAATGTTAGATTTGATAATATTTGGTCGCTCCATGTATCGGTCGGTTTTGCAATAACAGAACCTTTTTCCCATGATGCTGATGACTTTTTCGATCGTTCTTTAGCTTGTTCTTGTAAATCTAACTCTTCAAAATCAGATTTTAACCAATCTAACATATCTGAAAAGACAACGGCGCCTTGTTCTGTTTGAGAACCTTGTTTTGATATTATTTCACTTTGAGCTAATAATTCAAATAAATCATCCTCATCTAAAATTAATAAAACAAGTTAAAACTATCAGCTTATTAATGATTTTATTAATGACCGGCAGATTAAACTGACTCTTACCAACTTGTTCTTCTTCCTCTAGGTATTGTTGATATTCTTCATGTATTTTATAATGCTGTTTCATTCGATATATACTTGGAATATATTGCTTACAGATTTTACATACTCGTTTTTTCAAATCTTTTTTGACCGATGTACAACAATAATCGAATGGTAATTGATCATTGAGGGTATTTTGGATAACAACACCATGAAATTGAATACGATGAAACAAAGAACCATAAAATTGAGTTTTTGTTGTTTCGTTAGCCATTACAATGCCTAAGAAAATAAATAGAAATATCTGAAGTGAGCTATATTTTTTTGATAAACTCGTATTTTACCCAAAGGTGTTCGCTCAAATGGCACCGGTGGTGGTAAAAATCGATGTGGAAATATTTGAACATAATTTGATCTCCATTTTCCACAACATAATGGATCATTACAGCGAACTATTTGAATTGTATATTGAGTTTGAAGTACATGAGTACCACACCAATATTCATCGAGTTCATATTTAGCAGATTCATTTGTTAATTCTTCTTTTATTTGAGCGGTTTTCACGTGACATTTTTCCAAATAATCTTCCTCCGATGTGTTCGCACGAGTTTCAACGTCTTCTCCTTCTTCAGCCCTACAGAGACTAAAACCAGAGCACAAAGTGGAAAACATTGTGACTATTACAACGCTGACTAAGCAAGACTTCAGATAGAAAACGTTGTTTTACTGCTTTTGTCGACTGGTACTTTTGTTTTTTTATCTTATGGGATTTTCAGTGCAGTGGACAATTCCTACATATCGGGTGGACATGAGTACGAAGTATATTCGGCAACCTCAATTGTGAACTTTTTCACGTGCTCAAACACGCTCTATTCAATGACCCACTCAGAATTATTTTCCTGGCAAAAGTGTTTTTTCTCGAATTTAGGCCTCAGGCGAAAAATCCTATAGTCCAGGAACGTTTATGCATTTTTATGCAAATTTTATAGATACAGTACACATAGAAGAACATTTGTGCCAAGTTTGAGCAAGATTGAAAGCGTCTTAAAGGATATGCGCTCATTGCACTGACTACCACTGTTTAGAAACATTTCCTATTGTGGAAAAAATTTTCTATCTTAGTTGAGATTCAATCAAGTTCTGAAAGTTGCAAATGGTCGCGTAAAATTTCGAGAGAGATTTTCTTCTACTTCTAGTTAAAATTAGGCTATTTCCCTTGAGACTATGTTTAATAACTCTATACATTACGTTTACGAGAATTTCTCACTTTTTTAATGAAAACGAACCTTGTCGCGAGATTCAGAATGGTTGATAATCTATATTTCCATTAATTTTTGAGGTGATCCGAAAAAACTTTGCTATTTTGGTACACATATTACCAATTTAAGAACGTTTCGCTCTAGGTGCACAATACAAGAGGCAAGCAGGAGAAAACTGTGGGTATTTCAAGAGTCTCAAAATATCTAGTCTGATCCAGATTTATTCGTAGATGGCGGATGAATCTGCTCTTGGTTTCGTCAAGAAACTTCGTCTTTTGCCACTATGTAGTGAAGAGTTTACCGCATTTTTTCAAAAAATAATAATGTGCAGAATTATTTCTCTAGATAGTTCTTCAGTGCCGCTCTCGGATGGTATTAGTTTCTCCAGACACTAGGATTGTACCTGGAATCTTTGAAAATTTCGAAAAAGAATGGATACCTAGTCTATCGGGAATTCCGAATCTTGTGACAATATTTGCTACAGATTCAACAGTTTTGTCTACTGCTTCATCTGGTAGTATTAAAACCTGCTTTTTTGGCCATTTTCAAATTTATATTGTGAGATGTGTGCTATGACCTCATATTTTATGGCTTTAACATTCTGCACTAACTTTTTAACCAAACAAGAACCAAAAATCGATGACAGGTACTTCGATTGAGTGTAATCCAACGATGACTTCTACATAAAAGTGAAAAAGAAGACTCCATTGTCACATTGAAAGAAAACATTTTAAGCGTACGGAGATAAATATTGAAAATTCTCATTCGAAGATGAAAAGTCGTGAATACTTTTTAAATTAAACATAGACAAATTTGAAATGAATGAGTGTCATTATGGGAAAATTGAAATTTTATATCCTTGCAATAGCACAGATGTCAAAAAAAATTAAACAATGCAAGGGAATGGAATCATTTATAGAGAAAACTACAAGTGCATTACTTAGATCAATGATGCGATGGATCGATCTGCTAACTGTTTAGGACTGTTAATGTTTACCCGTAATAGAAAAAATAAAATTCTTTTTACCGTTCCATTAGACTTTCCATGGCAAGAGTAACACCAAATTCTCGTCGTTCATCGTCTGTTTTTCCTGTTGATGCAATATATTCTGCCATAACCGGATATTCATCAAGCACAGATCCACGCCATACTTCGGCTAAAACTTCTCCTGCTCGTTGAAAACTTAGTTTTTCTAATTCTTCATTAATCGTTACTCCACGATCATCCAAATGTGTGCCAAAATAATCGTGAGGTAAAATGAGACCACCTAAATCTTGTGCTAACGGTGACATTCGGCGTTCAACAACATTGAAAGTCACTTGACCTGGTGCTTGAGTGAGAACGAATAATGCATCCAAGTTGTATCTACGAAATTTTGCAATGGCTGCCATTAATGTTTTTGGAAAACGAGGATTGTCATCTGGACCACCGTCAACTGTAATTATTACCTATAAAAAGAAAAACACGATTATCAATAACAATTCGAGATGTGTAAAACAATGAAGAACTGCTAAAGAGTTCCTACTGTTGATAGTTTGATGATACTTACAATCGGCTTCACATTACCATGTATGTCTCTGCATGCTTTTTCAAATTCTTTTAATTTCACTAATGTATCAAAATCTTTTAAATGTGTTTGTGCATCAGGTCGATCATGCTTAGCTGATCTCACGGCTATGTAAGTTGGACCCGCATAACCAAGTTCACCATCCGGATTAATGATGCAGGCTGCATACACACTTGGTATTAATTGATATCGCGGAGCAATTCTTGAATTAAAATTAGGCTGTTTAACATCATAATCCAAATGCATTAACATTGGCGCTTGAATTTTAGCAGCTGGTAAGCCAATAGGTACTTTACATTTTTCATTTTGTGATATATAAAACACAACTTCATTGCCAAATATACTAGCCAAATCTTTGATATATCGAATAGTTGCCGTAGCAAAGTGACTATCTTCATGAGGAATAACTGGATCATTTATTTGGACAGCATGACGCAGACGAACAGGTACGGTACGAACATGTCTTCGACCATCGATCGAGGCTGCACGACGAGGTAATAACCTAAGCAAAAACAAAAAAAATGGAAATATTTCTATTAAAATCCGATAAGTCATCTCACCTGTAATACGACGTTGTTTGTCTAATATCATAGCCTCGTTGTTTAATTGTTTCTCGTAAATCATCTAATGTTGCGCATGGTCGATATTGTTCTGATTGTCGATTATTATCCGTTGCTCCACCACATCGTGCAATTTCTTCAATAATTTTTAGTAAATCCGGACATTGTTCTTCTGCACTAGGTCGACTTGTATTTGTTCGATAAACTTTATTTAATTCTTTTGCTACTTCAGGATTTTTTTCGCATAACTGTTCAACAATCATTTTACGTTTTTTTCGAAAATTTGCCTTTGTAATCTGTTGAGCTCTGAGACGTTTTAATTCCATTGATTTTTTCTTTCGTTCATCGAACAGTTTTTTCAACTGTTTTTTGGTGTCAGCTGTAGATAGACCCATATTTTTTATTTGTACAAGACTGACAATTTGTTCATTGATTGTTTTTAATTCACAGTTAACGAGTTCTTGAGCAGGCGCACGAACACGGTTTGAACGTTCTTTTTTACGAGGATATTTATATACTTGAAGAGAAATGAAGATTTTTGGAATTAGCGTATTGTTTCTTCAACTTGTGTTTATCTAACTAAACTTTCTATACTTACCTCTTCTTCCGTCTGGTAAAATGGTTATTGTGCCTTTCAATTGTGGAGCTGGTGGAGTGACAGCGGCAGGTTGATTTTTACTTTTGGTCTGCATTTGTCCTTTGGTTTGCACTTGTCCTTCATCGCTCTCAGCCATTTCTTTCTCGATAAGAGGCATTTGTTCTTTTTCATTATCATCGACATCTGAATCGGAATGTCGCCTTTTTCTTTCCAATTTCTTTTTTGCCGCTAATTTCCTTTTTGCTGACTGGCTCATTTCTAGTGGTAATCCTGCTGCACCTGATTGATTATAAATTTCTAAATATTCTTCAATTTTTTCACGAACGCGTTCTTCATTGTGTTTCAATGCATTCCATTCAACTTGACCGCTATGATGAGCAATCTAAACAAAAGGAAAATTAGTTGTATGATAATATTTTTCTCTTAGGCTCATTATTACTCTGTTGCACAAAACACATTCTGGGTTTAGAGTATTGACGAATCTAGAGAACTTCTTATAATTGCCGTTTGCTAGAAATTTTAAAAACTTCTCTGACAAAAATTGAAAAGTTTTCAATCATCGTATGAAGATTTAAAGTATCTAAACCATAGTCGGCGAATAAGTGATTGTTTTATGAATCAATCATTTTTAATTTTAAAGAAAATTAATTTTTCGAAAATATGTGCAAGCGAGGGGATGGATAAGAAGAAAAATGTTCATAAAACTTCTATCGTACAAAATATTTTGGTGTGCAGGCGTTGGACGAGGTGATTTCCAATATAATTTACTTTTTACTGAAAATACTTGTCGCATCAAGAGAAAAATTTTACTTGAAAACCATCTGATTTTAGAAAATACATTGTGGGATCCAGGAAATTTTGCGCAAACATCATCGATCTAGTCGACTAAGGAAAGAATTTGTGTAAGGTTTGAACAAGATTGTTTGTTTGGAAAATTTATAACTCCGACGTTGTAATTTACAACAGATTGTTGTTGGGCTCAGACTATTCTCGATCATCACTTGGCCAAAACAATTAAATAAAAGGTTCAAATACTAACCAACAATTAGGAAAATTAAGTAAGAAATCCATCCCGGATTTCCGCAGGAGATCCATCCCACGTTTGATATAAGCTTTATCCTGTCAAAATACAAAGAAAAAGAAATCCATTATAGTATTCTGAATCCCTCACTTTTACTGTTTTCTCAACTAGGGTAAACTATTGAGAAGTTTCATCGTCATATGATCAAAATAAACTTCTTTAGCTAAGCAGCTTGTCCGCGTAACGCCGTCAGTTCGTTGTCGCTTTGTGACTTTAATTCAGCCATAACTCCACAAGGGAAGGACGTATGCAGGCTTCAAAATATAACGGTCCCAACCTCTGTACCTTCATCCATTAAGACCCCGTCATGGTGGCAAAACGTAACGCAGTCACGCAAAATTTGACCGTTAGCCGGACAAGTTGTAAGACGGTCGCTTTTTCGGAATACTTTTACTATGACTGCTTTTCTACTGTAAATTTTTTACTTACAGATGTGCCCAAAACTATCCGTACAGCATGTAATTTCAGAGTAAATGAATCATAAGCATTTAAAGAAGCAATATTTTGACATAGACTTTTCATCAAACTATTCCTCGGCATGTATGGTATGTCTGTAAAAAAGAAGTTTAAAATTCGA